TCCCAAAGCTGGCAAGGGTGGAATTTGCGAATTTGGAGGGTGGTCTGATGCCGGACTTGCACTTTTGAGGACTGCCGGCAGCAGTTTGGCTTCAAGAGCACATCCTCTTGCTCAAGAAGTAGAAGAGGCCATCCTTGCAACGAGTCCATCGATGCCTTTGGTATTGGTGGTGAAGACTGATTGGTGAGCCCCCCAAGAAGAAGAGAAGAAGGCGCCGTCCGGTGTGAAGCTTAGCTTGGCTTGTAGGTTGCCAAGGTTCCACTAAAACCTACCAAAGGCTGCATTGGCATGCTACGCTCCCAATCCAGGTGGTCCTTGCCTGCTTTCCCCCTCATTCTCTTCTCTTTTCCTCCTCTCCCCCCCCAACATGCGGCCACCCCCCTCTTTCCGTATTGTTTGGTTGCCCCCGAGTTGCTGTTTTGCTCCAATGCCACACTGTTTCCTTGCCGCACCTATGTCTATCGATGCGATGTTCGGTTACTTATTCGTTAACCTTTTCTCCCCTTTAATTCCTGTTAACCATGACAATCTTGTTCCCGATTTGTTTTGTTCGAAACCTCTCGCTCAGTATTCGCCAGTAGTATCTTAAAATTCTAACCCCATTATTATCCCATCTTCCCTCTCTTTTGGTCTAGTTTCCCAAACTGTACTTAGTGATTAGTATCCTAGAACTCTTAATTTTGGAAGACGTTTGCAGTGTTTTTGATGCTTTGCATGACCGTCAGTAGGAATTGCCCTTACATTCGGTTGGTACTGGAATCCTGCTTTATATGGTAAACATCTTTGTTCGGAGGGAAAAGAACTATTTAAGCCGATCCTTTTTAATTACAATGACCAGACATGCTTAAAGTTATGCCACGGTGTCCACCACACGCATTGTGAACAACGAGGAGTGTAGGTTTGTTAAACGGGCCGTACTGGATCATTGAGCATGCCTTTAACAGATTTGTAAGTTACTGTTTCATGGGAACCAAGCTTCGGTGCATAATCCGCAACCTCCCTTCACGATTTGTATCGTAGGGTCGACCTTCGACTTTAATCGATAACCTACCTTGTAGATTGGTATCCTACCTTCAGGTGCGCTTCTCAGATGTGTAGGTTCACCCTTCTCTTGGATAATAGAATCGCGTTGCTCTTTGATTGCCAATTTCGCAAGTTCAATCTTCTTTTTCTTCTCTAGTTTGTCAACCTGCTCAGTGCGCTCTCGGATGGCATTGCCTCGAAAGAAATCATCAGACGTAAGGTGTTGACCATGTGTCTAATGATACAACTGACCAGCAGTTCCAAGATTCTTTGCTAGGCGAGCGCCGCTTGTCGGCGCTCGTTTGCAATGGCTGCTTGTCGTTTGACCGTGTTGGGCTTGGTGATCTATGTGTGGAGTTCTGCTTTGCGTCTTGTAAGCTTCAAGAGCAACCGATCTCCATCAAAGCCAAATATGTTCCGCGAAGCGCAGTGCATCTTGTTGGACGCTTCAATCTGTAGCAGATAGTCGGCCATAGGATCCAAATCCGTGTTCACTGTTCCATCCCTATTCATTACAACTTCGTGACGCACTTTGTTGCTGTTCAATGCGGCTCTAGTCAAAGGAACACAGCCACACTTTGCCCAAGCGGACTTGTTGGATGCAATGTTGAATGCTTTCTGAAAAGCATTTTCAAGGACGGCCCCACTCTCCGGATCTGTTCCACCAAACACAAGCAGAGGCAAGTCGTTAGTAGTCATAGACGTCTTGGCCTCGAAGCGAGCTTGAGATAAGATCCATAGATTGCCTCTGTAGGCTGTTTTGAAGGGGCCATAGTTTTGATCTGTTTCTTGAGTAACAGCTGTAGAGTTAGGAACACCTGGAAAGATGTAGCAGCCCTTCACTCGTAGCTTGCCGAGCATGTCAAGGTTGAGACGACCCGGCCCACTGTCAACCTTGATTGCAACTCGCTTTCCTGGAACGTCTTGTATGTCAGGGTAGAGACGTAAGATGTTGCACTCGAAATACTTGTCTAGTTCGACAGCATTCATTCCTGCCTTTTCATTCATCCCAAGAGTGATCGAACTGACATCTAATGCATCTAAGAAGCGCATTTTTAGGTAGCGCGAAAACGGGAGCACCCCTACCATACCATTCCACGTGTTTGGCATATAAAATCATGACGTCGCTGGTTAAAGCTTTGGTAGTACCCTCGCAGGCCTCCAAATAGATATCATATGCAACAACCACTGCCATTGCCTTCGCATGTATCATTGGAGAGTGCCAATACTTCCAGGAACTGGAGAGAAAATCGTGTTAGAAGGGGATAAGAAATAAGAACGGATAATAACAAACACTTGCCAGTAGCCCATGTTGCAATTCTGGATCAGGTGATCTAACTTGTCGACGCCGCCATAGGTCTTCAAATAGAGTTGTCTTGACTCATTCATTTCAATGAACCAGCGGTGTTTGTTCTGTTCTCTGCCTCGTTCCTTCTGCGTAACGTAGAGATCCAAGGAGTTAATGGCGTTGACAGAGGCAAGATTGCATGAACTGGTGGACTGAAAAGAGGTGAGCTGCAAGAGTGAGTCAGCGTGGGGCTTAATGGCAAAGATGGGCTTTTCATATCTTGCCGCTCGAGGCCTTGGACCACCATCGGTCTTTTCCTTGCACCAGTACTTTGAGTCTACTCCTCTTGGTAATTGATCGCGTCTGCAAGTCATTGTCAATCCAAAGCCTTCCTCCGCGGCACACTTCATAATGGAATCGCCAGAGAAGAAGTTGTCCCAAGTGAAGTGCGGCTTGGATGTGAAGAGAATCGGTTTTCGCTGTTGTTGTTCTTCTTCTTCCACGCTGCTGTCATCATCGGCTTGAATGAAAGGCTTGAGCTTTTCATAAATCATTCGAACTTCACTTAGACCCTTCTGCGTGAAGGGAAACTCATGGATCTTGTGCCGGTGTACATAAGCCCTGGGTCTGATGCGATCCACATCAACAACAAGCACAGTCTGCCCTCCACGTGAAATTCCAGGCTTCCCCAGTACTTGACCAACCACTCTAGTGCCTGCTTCGCCATATCCTTGATGAGGCCATGACGTCACATCTCCACAAAGATCAAGTCCTGCTTTCTTGGTGATGGCATTCATGTTGTGACAAATGCAGTTGTAAATCATGTCATATTTGTAGCACGGATCATAGGCACGTTCAGTTCTTTTGGCGGCACGCAGGTTATTGCACAGCTTGAAAATCCGCTTGATCAACAACCATCTTGTTTTCCCCATGGCGGCGTTGATGAGGGGACAGTATTGCGCATTTCCATCTCTTTGGTCAAAGCGGCGAAGGATGGCACCATCACTCCCACCAAGAACTCCGTCTTGAACAACAGTGCCATCACATCGAACAAACTCTGTGATTGACACAGGACGGAAGGTGTGGAAGTAGCTGGTTCCAAGTCTTGAGAGTGTCTCACCATCTAGTTGTCCTTTCCGGCTGTCTGGAAACATGTTCTCTTTTGTGGCACCGGAGCGGTACTAGGGTGTATCATTTTCTGGCAGTTTCCAACCATCGTAAAAGAAGTCCCATCCATCACAGACTCGCTTGAACTGGTGGTTGGCAGGAACTGGTGTAGCGCCTGTTGGCATGGCATGGTACAGATATTTCTTCTTGGAATTGCCTCTACCAGTAGTGCTGTACTTTGGACGAAATGTAAATTCACTCCATTTCCCCGGATTGTCAACGTTTTCAAAATCAGGCTCTTGGTTAGCTTGCTTCTCTGCAGGTTTCCACGTCATAGGAGGCCCAGGTGCTTTCCAAGTGGCAGGTGCACCAGCGAGCGAAGTGTCTTTCTTGCCAAGTAAATCCATTTTCATTGGTTCAATGGAGGAGGCAATTGCCGCAAGCTCTTCTTCCAGGAAATCCGGATTCCTTTGTTCTTCAGCTTCCAGATCAACCATCAGTTCATTTGCAATGTCTCCTTCGTCATCAGAATCGGTGTTGGGGCTCTTCTCGCCGCAGTCCTTGTCAAACTGTGCTTCATATTCTTCTGCAGTCCTTGTCAAACTGTGCTTCATATTCTTCTGCCGAGAGGATTTCAGCTGCAGATTCTTCCGAAGTTGAGGATGGCATTGTTCGTGGTGTTGTTGTTGGTGTTGTCAACTGTCGCGATCTTCTACTCCTGTTGCTGTTGCTGACATCTCGCAATGGTGTCCTTGTTGCTGCGGTGGCTAATGCATCAAGTGCTCCTTGACCGTTGACGCCTCCACGATTTTGTCCACTCCTTGTCGAGTTACTTAGACTTGATACATGAGACCAAGGGGATCGATGTCCACCCACAACCGCTGGTGGGCCATTGCCTCTTGTAGTAGTAGCAGCGACAGACTCTTCATCGTCGCTGTCAGAAGAAGAATCCATTGTCACGGCGTCGGAATGAGATCAATCCGTCATTGTGAGTTTGTTCGAAGGAAAAATCGAAGATCAAAAGATGAGCCGCGCGTAGGCCAGTACCGGATTCCTACGCGCTCCCTCTGGACCAAAACGGGATATTTGGGAGGCACCACAAAAATGCTCAAGATTTGGATGGTCAGCTAACTTACACCAAATACGGCAATGCAGTTGTCGGTCTCATGTCACTCTCGCGTGAGGCTGGATACATCACCCATGTTGAGGGGAACCGACACCTCTGAGTGATGATCATACTGGTACCAAAAGACACTGACTCTTTTGATCCCAGTGAGATGCTCGGGGAGTCTGGTCTTTTGCAAAGCGGTATGGCACGTATCTACCCCCACTTCCACTATGATTCCTTCTTCAATTCACAGGATAAGGACCTCCACCAGAACATTGAACGATACCTCCGGCTCATCCACCCCCATGATTACACCAAACTGCAAGAAAAGGAAGAAGGGGCTGATGACGAGGAAGAAAAATACAATGAGGATAAGGTAGAGGAGGAGGGAAAGAAGGAGTCCGAGGATTCCAATTTCGATGACTGACGGGAGCCACGATGGTCTTGATGATAAGAAGAAGCCCCCCAAGAAAAGGGTTGATGCAGAGGAGACTGACGCAAGCAAAAATGGTCTTGGTGATGAGAAGGAGCCCACAGAGAAAAGGTTTGAAGCAAAGACTGTGGACCTGGGTACCATAACAATGGAGATGCCACTGCGACAGTTTTACACACCAGACTTCCAGAATATCTGTAAGTGCCTCCCCTGATGAGACTCCAAAACCAATGAGAGAGCTAAGACGAGAGATGTAACGAGGAGAAGAAGAAAAGAGAGAGAGAGAGAGAGAGAGAGGAGAGAGAGGAGAGAGAGAGAGGAGAGAGAGAGAGAGAGAGAGAGAGAGAGAGAGAGAGAGAGAGAGAGAGAGAGAGAGAGAGAAGAGAGAGAGAGAGAGGAGAGAGAGAGAGAGAGAGACCTCGTGCAGCTCTAGCTCCAAACCAAAAGAAAAAAGAAAAGAGAACTAACATGGTTTTTGTCTACTATATACTATGAAACTCTTCTACTCATTGTTAGGTCTCCCTTCACGTAACTTCATGGTGAACTCCATTTCATCGTCATCGGATGAGCAGGATGACAGACTTTCTGCTTTATTGTTGCCTTCCTTAGCCTCCAGTTATTATTGACACTTCCAATAGAGTACCCTGTTTGCTTTTGTGGCAGGAGGAGCAGTTTGTTTTCTGACCACCATTACCGTCTCAGATTGTTTCGGGAATACAGGACGGTACAGCTCTTTGTCGCCCTCCTCATCCAAGGAATCCAAGACAATTTCATTTACTTGGTCCTCTCTCTGCATTCTCCCTCCTCTCTCATCTGATTCTGACTCATCGTCGCTACTATGGTCGCTGCTGTCATCTTTGCAGAACAGTTTCTTATTACCATACAAGTCGACTTTCAACTCCTCCAAGTCCCCACCAACCGTTTCATCTTCATCACTTGATTCCATGTTAGCTTCATCGTCAAGCATCCTCTTTCCATACACATCTACTTTCAGTTCCGAGGTTGAAACAATGCAAAATGGGATGGGATCATTGATGCGGTACCTTTTCATGAAAAGCCTGCAGTGTTCCTTCTGAAGCATCTTTGCCACAGGCTTCTTTGTGAAATTGATAGTTCTCTTGTCAGCTATCAAATGCTTGTGGCAGCTATCACGAATCTCCTGGTCCCAAGCAGTGACAAGGCATGGTTTGAGGTGACAGAGCATTGGCATACGCTTCTGCATCTGCACACTCGCTATCCAACCAAGAACCAGGAAGTAACATATTATTCCTTTGTTTTTCGTTTTCGTTTGTCCAAACAAGATTTTTGTGAGACTGACACATTTTCAAAATCTCCCCCCCCCATCCACTTTTTCAAAAAATAGTTCATGCCAACGAGATTGCTTGAGTTTCATGCCAACGAACCCAAACGTATAGAAAAAGAATGACCCCAACCAGCCCCCAGCCCCAGTACTGCAACGACTATATTGATATCATACCAGCAGGAAGTATGTAGAGAGAAAGACAGTTTGCATGCAGTTTAACGACTACATCCACAGTCAAAAAATAATGAGACATAAAATTGATTTCCTCCAGTATGGTAAGGACTAAACCAATTGCAAGCAGAGTAGTCGACGGGCAACATCCCAGATTCCGGAAGGCGCTAGCAAGGTGGGCCGCCAGGAAGGTCCCTCCTCCATTGAAGGTGTGTATCAAAAGGCGACAGCGCTATCGCCCAGGAACTGTGGCTCTCAGAGAAATTCGAAGGTACCAGAAGTCAACAGATCTCCTAATCAGGAGACTGCCCTTTCAGCGTCTTGTTCGAGAGATAGCTTCTGATATTAGAAAAGACATCAGGTTCCAAGGGTCTGCAATGGAAGCTCTCCAGCAAGCGTCAGAAGCCCATCTTGTGAACATGTTCCAATGTTCCAACCTTTGTGCTATCCATGCCAAGAGAATCACCATCATGCCAAAAGATATCCAGCTAGCCAGGAGGATTCGAGGTCATTACTTAGCCAAAACTCTGGGAGTTCACTCTGCCCCTTCTGTAGAGTGAAACTACAGAGCAAATTCATTGTTTGGCAGAGTTTTTCATTTCCAGTGGCAGCTGAGATCTGAGGAACAGATCTAGAGAGGATATTCCACGAGGAAAGACCTTCCGAAATCTCATCGAATAGATTGAGTCATGCCTCATGAGTCAACACGATGGAAGTATCAACACGCAGAGAACGCTGACAAGAACACGTTCTCAACGAAACCAAAAGAAACGGAAAACTCGACACGAGTAAAGTATCCTGCCACCGAACCATTTCGCGTAGATCCCACGTCGGCAGTTCAATGGCTAGGTCACTGGCTTTAGTGATTCATGGTTGCCGCTATCGATCTTGCCAAATGTGGTCTTGGACAGGCGCCGTTGCCTTAAGGGTAATCGAGAGGCATTGAGGAGCTGATGCGGTGCATCATCATGTGGGGTATCCAATTCCGGAACGTAGTTGATGACCTGTGAGATGTAGAGATGTAGAGATGTACTTGAGTTGTAGGCGAGGAGCCTGGGAATTAATTTTGCAAATTGTGAGATGGTCCTCTCAGCAACCATGATTAGGGTTATAGTTGGGAGAACCCATGAGGGTTAGATTTTCCGCACTATGGAGCGTGGAAACTGGGACGGGGGGTTCCCCAGGCGTGCTGCTGCTCGACACAAAGCCAACTAAAATATCACTGTATTTGTGAAGAAAATCTGTCTACCCCAATAGCATAATACTGGTGCTGCCATTGCCAATATCCCTGCTACACTTGTTATTATTGTCTCCCGTTTGATCATTCAATCGTTTGAGAGAGTTGACAGAGAGAGTTCGAGAGAGAGGGATGGAGGGACAGTGAGACAGGGAGAGTTAGACATGAGAGAGTGAGGGGTGGGTGATGCACTGAAAAAGGACCGAGAGCCATGTATATAGGCATGCATTATAAAGGCATGATGGATGGATCGAACTAACCGCCCAGATGGTACCATTTTCAGCGGCGCCAACATCCCTGATAGTGTTGCTTCCAAACTTGTACCAATTGAGACGACATACAACAAAAATTCCCCATTTATGCTGGTGACATTGGCTTGTGATCTCTGGAGCAGCACCGCCATGCTTGTAGCAAGGCAGAAATTTGCAACCGCTTCCAACGTTGACCCACTGATTCAGGCGATCAGATATGGGAGCCCACTGATCCCCACGTTGTAAAGAAAAGAGTGGCCTTCAGTTCGTCGTCCCATTTGGAAGGCAAATTTCCTTTATCGAAGCGAGTGATCCGCCTTGAGCCTAGCTTAAAGTTTTGGGCGGCAGTCCAACCAATGGGGAGTCGAGCAGTGTCTCTTGATCTATACATGCGAGTGTTTCCAACCAACCAGTCGGAGGTTTCATCCAATCAATCAGATGGAAATAAATGACTGTCTTATAGTGCTATGACATTAATCAGACAGTTTGCTCTCATACATTGCCATGTACTCACAAATGTGATCCCCTGGATTGACATGTAATTCGCGACTTCTCGCGTGGCTCTGACAGTCGGTTGTGTTCTAAAACAAAGGGGTGACGGGAACAGGGATGGAAGTGACAAGCCTGTGTGCTGCTCCATGGTGGCATTGGAAACAAATACAAACATAATTATCTAATATCGAGTTTAAAATCTGTTTCACTGACGATCTGCTATGAGCTGGTTCTTCTTGTACTGCAGCACGACGATGGCCACTACAGAGCAGCCAAACAGAAGTTGCAAGAGTCTGATTTGGGCAACCAGATCGGATGCATCTTGCTGATCATCTTGGCTTGAGGTGGTGGCCTTGTGGTTGCCATTCCTACGTTCACGATAGGGCAATCTCTCGCCGCCTCCCTGGTCATGGTCAGAAGCGCGGTCCAAAATTTCATCCAGCTTGTGGTGGAGTTTGTCTGTTTGTGCTGCCATTTGCATCTCCATCTGTGCTGCGGTCGCTGCCACCTGTGCTGATGTCGCTGCCAGCTGCTCCTTCATTCCATTCTCAAGTCTGATCATGTGCTCCCGTTGCTGTAAAAGCTGCTCCCGTTGTTTCAGACTGTGGTCATCAATGCCTTCACTTACAGCCACAATCAGCTGCTCCTCAATCGAAGGGGGGGCATCCAATGAGTAGCGCTGTACATCGGATTCATGTAGGATCAATTCCAGATTGCGCACACTGAACGTGTAGTCAATAATATTGCCACTGAAGTCGACCAATAGTTCAGGCACTGAATCATTGAAACTTGTCAACCTTCGACCATCCAATGCTAGATTGGCTTCTCTGGACAACTGTGCCAAGGCATAGAATGCCCCCAGTGGAGTGTGGTCATTACTGACCAACTCTGAATCAGTCCTTTCTGCCAGCTGACGGCCAAAGCTAGGAGTTTCTGGAGCCATCTTGACCCGAGCCACAGTCTGATTTGATGACTCACACCATGCACTCAAGATCTCCAGGCGCGTTGCGTCAGCTAGGTTCAACAGCTGTGTGATTCTGACCTTAACATCATCCTTGTTGGTGGTCGTGCTGTTGCATGGTCCACTTCCCAGCATCATGTCAAATGCCGAGCCTGTCTTGTTCACATCCAGATTTGCAAATGTCTTCTTGAACTCAATGGCTTGTGTATTGAAATTTCCTTGCAGGTCTTGGACACCTGTTAAAGATACTGTCATTTCACGGCCCATTAGCACATCATAGCCCATAAGCTCATCGAACAGGAAACCAAGCTTCCGTTCCTTGCAGTCAATATTCAAATCGTCAGAGAATTTGGCTTGAAATTGAAGGATGCAACAACGATACGAATACGGAAGTGAGAAACAAGGACATTCATCTGCCGAAGCACGTAGTACACCTGTCCAAAACATACTGTATTTTGCATCTTGTGTCCCAGTGCCATCCTTGATGCCAGACACCTGAACAATCAGGTCAAATCTCAAAGGTAATTCACAGACGATGGGCTCGGTAAAGATGATCGAAACTTCTTCTCCTGGGACCACAACGTCTCGAACTGGCAGCATACCGTACACCTTGGGAGCTATTCGATCAACAACAATCAACACTGGCTCTGTTGTAGTCTTCTTGAAGTCGTCAGGGGCCTTGGGGAAATCTTGGCATCTGTGGTGCAAAAATACCAATTGATGAGAGAACTGGCTACTACACCATTCAGCACCTTTGCCAATGGTGGGTACTTGCCTTGTTTCAACAACGACCTCATAACGGCCATCTGAATCTGTGTCAGGAATGTGAATATTCTGGAAGTTCCAGTTGATCGTTGCATAACCATAGTCATCCTCTTGCCCAGCAGCTTCAGGGATTGCCGTAAAGTTGGCTATCTGTTGCTTTGACACATCCAAATAGGCGGGTCCATAGTCATACTCGCCCTCGCCAAGTTTTCTGACATAAGGAATGACTTCTTGAAGCCTTGTCTCCTTCGCCAGACTTGCCAGATCTCCATCCGCCTTCTTGGGGTTGCGTATGATGAGAGGAATAGGGTCCTTTTGATTAGCAATGTTCACGACAAACTTCTTTTCTCGCTCCAAGGCTCCAGCCCACTCATCACTGGACATGGCTCTGCAAACTTGATACACGGGTTTCCCTGACAAAGGTCGTTATGCAGCAACACGGTCTTTGCTTCGGACCCAATGCCATCCCAATCTCCCTGCATTTGAATAAGTGTGGGAGTAAACTGATATCCTCGACTTGGTCTCCAAATCTCCATTGTTACAACGCGGACACCATTGAACGGGCCAAAGTCATGGGCAACTGCCAGATCGTTCCCTGTTGGGGATGCACAGGAATTTTTCCGATTCGTTAGTAGACCAGACAAGATCGTCCAACCGCTTCTAAAGCTGTTCAAGCTCGACTTACCTCCCAACTTGTGCGTTAGGCCATCCGGGTTGGTTGTGTGGTCAAGGAATACCACAAAGGCACTTGTGCGGTCATTCACGTTGTTTGCGATGGTGAGTGTGAAAACCATAGGCTCGTCAGGTAGAACAGGCTTGTTCGGCCTCTGAACAACTCTGAGATCGATATCCTCCCCTCGTGCTGTGGGCGCACCTTCCCACTATAGAAGCCAAAGGAGCAAGACATCAACAAATGACAAAAGCATGCTGACCTGATTGGCCACTTATACGAATATACTCAAACTCCTGGTGAAACTTACAGGAGCACTGGTTGTTCCGGCAACAGTTCTGAAGATGACTGCAGTCCATAGAAAAAAGAGACATCAGTGTAAGTCACAGGCTTCATACCCGATGGAGGAGAAGCATCATTCCATGCCAGATGTTTTAATACTCACAAGTTCCAAACTTGGGATCGACGAAAATGTCCAAAACAAAGTCATCGTCCTTGTCTTCATCACCGAGAATAAATGAAACTGTAGTCTCTCTTTCTTCCCCATCAGTATCCGTAAAAACCTGTGATCTTGTGGTCACATGGGTTAGTTCAAAGCTGCAAGCATAAGAGAAGAGAGCAGGTGTGAGAACAAAGCTGCCGCAAAAGCACAGCAAGGACTCTTGACTAAAGTATTGTTCTCAGCACTTACCCGCCACCGATCATAATTCCAGGACCACCAGACATGTCAAAACTAAGGGTTCCTCCAAAAGTGCTTTCTTCATTGTCCTCCCCTGGGTTCAGCTGGCTCAGCTCAGTAATGCCGGTATGGCCCATTGTGAATTCCATTGTGCCTCCACCGCCACTGAACTGAAGCCTGTTAGTCTCCTTCAAGTCCTTCTTGCCACTTTGCGACCCAGGCTTGACATACGGAGCATTCTGAACTGTGATGGCTCTTTCTGTTAGTGTTTCTGGAGTCAATTTTGCCCAATGCGCTCCAGGTTCAATGGCAGGCTTCATGGCATTCAGGTGATTATATTCGGCCATGTTGACAAAGTCAACAAAGAAGTTTCCAGTCATTGGAGGAGGATCAACATCAAAAATTTTATCCTTCTTTGCCGCCCACTTGTCAAACCATTCACGGGCTGGAATGAGTTGGTTCTCTGCCATGTTGTTGGTGGCATCATATGCTACCAAGGAACTACTCCAACTCTTCAGTGCATAATCCAAAGTATCATATTGAGATTTCAGCTTTGTCTTATTCTGTGCACCTGTTTCGTTCCCCCACCTGTAAAGGTACTCCAGAGCCTTGGTCTCCAGTGTCGGAAGCACATGGGTTTCCAAGTAGTAGACACTGAAGAAGGAAACAGCAGGCTTGTTCTTCTTGTCTTCCAGATTGAATTTCGTTGTGGTGGTCACATTGGTGAGCAACTTTCAGGATGCCACTGAAAGTTCAAAGTCTCAGAGAATAGAACATTCAAATTTGGCACCACGAAAACATCAGATTTGCGTCCAGCAAGCATTGGATCATCACTTGTCGTGTAGCTGGAAGGGTAAGTGAGAGAAATGGGAACACACTGTAAGCAAGGTATTTCTGCAATCAAAACAAAGTGTAACTGTAGCTATCTCTCTGATCTGAACCTACCTCCAGGTGGTTGTATACTCTGCAGTAAAAACATCTTCCCTGTGCATCTGATAGGTAACATCGTCAGTGTCAAAGCCACCACCAATGCCATCACCCGACATGCTAAAGGTTTTAAGACAAAATTCGATCCCAAAGCCAGCACAACTTTCTGCATCAATGTCGGCTCCAATGTGTAGTCGAGAGTTGTGTGAAAGGTCCTCCAGCCGCTCAAATTCTGCTGACTTCACCCTCATGGCTTTTACAAGAATGAACCAAGATGAGTGAGGCTCCTGGACACAGCAAAGATTAGAGAGCCACACAGGCAGTAAACATACTGGTCTGCACATTCTCATAGGATGCCTGTGAAAGCCCTACCGGGGGATCCCGAAGAATCAGAATGGGCTCATAGGTAGGGAGAGCAAAGGATTTTCCTTCTCCCAATTTGTAGTCACCTGTTATAACCAGCTCAGCTACGTGGGTCAAGACGCGTACGCCCTGCTTGGTCACCTTGACTTTGAATGTCTTCCGGTCTATAGCAGTGAAAGAAAGAAGAGAACCAGGTCAGACAAGGGCGCAGTCAAAGTTATGTTGAGAGACTCGCTCCTAATAAAGTGGATACTTACAGGGGGAGTCAACTCTGGTAGCGTACATAGGGAGACAGAATGATGTACAGTTAAGACTTGGTCACACAATATGGAAGAACAACTAAAACAACCAACCCAAGCTGTACATACCTCGGGCGTCCAACTATAAACTTGATTTTGTTTCCCTTTGCATCCTTGGGAGCCACACGCGCATTTGACTTCACTTCATTGGTGTTTGTATGATCTACCTTGAACTTGCAAGTGTTTTGAGGACCACAAATCTCATGCTGTTTGATTTCATCTTCCTTCAGACTCTTCTTGTACTCTGCCCACTTTGCATCAATTCCCGCACTGTTCTCAATTTCAACCTCAATATCGTCGCCAACAACATCACAGTACATGTCCGTCATTAGCTTGTATCTGAGAGTCAATATTATTGACTACACGTTCAGTGTGCGCAATCTGGAATTGATCCTACATGAATCCGATGTACAGCGCTACTCATTGGATGCCCCCCCTTCGATTGAGGAGCAGCTGATTGTGGCTGTAAGCGAAGGCATTGATGACCACAGTCTGAAACAACGGGAGCAGCTTTTACAGCAACGGGAGCAACTCTGGCAACAACGGGAGCACATGATCAGACTTGAGAATGGAATGAAGGAGCAGCTGGCGGCTTCAGCAGCGCAAATGGCAGCACAAACAGACAAACTTCATCACAAGCTGGATGAGATTTTGGGCCGTGATTCTGACAAGGGAGGTGGTGAAAGATTACCTAGTCGTGAGCGTTGGAATGGTAACCACAACAAGGTCACCATCTCAAGCCAAGATGATCAGCAAGATGCATCCGATCTGGTTGCCCAAATTAGACTCTTGCAACTTCTGTTTGGCTGCTCTGTAGTGGCCATCGTCGTGCTGCAGTACAAGAAGAATCAGCTCATAGCAGATCGTCAGTGATTCAGATGATGAACTCATTACTTTATCTTGAATAATTAATAATTGCATTTGTTGTTCTAATGCTGCCAACGGCGCCCATCTTGTCACTTTGGTCTGTGTAGATCACAACCCTTCGTCACAGCTATATTCTAGAATACAAACATACGCCAGTGGAGCTTTGACCCCCAACGAAGGTAATCCGTGTACCGATAGAAGCAGATGCCCGGTGATAATTAGTTTTCGCTTTTGCTGGCTTCATTCTATTCATACTCTTTCCTTTACCCACGGGGACCCCAGAGGATATCCTCGGAGGAGATTATCCCAGCCTATCTGGTTCTTTGCCCCAACAAGCTTACGGTACCTGTCTGGATAGTGCCACAGGTGCAGGAAACAATTCTCGTAGTGGTATTGAAGACAATCCAAAAGAATCTCAAGGAGGAAAGGATCACTTTCTCTGTTTAATCTTACTAGTGCCCATGATGACTGCTGTTGTGCTGGCTGGATGTGGTGTGCTGGACAAACACTGCCATGAGTAATCCAAATGTAGCCTTGAAAGCTTGCACAGTTGGTCAATGACTAAACAGAGGCTGCTTGACGCGCTGATAACCTTGGATCTTTTCGACACAGTCAGATTGTGCTAACGGAGAGCTTGAGTTACCCTTCGAAGTCACTCATAATAGTAGTAGGGATCCTCTTTCGGAGCTCGCAAATCGATCAAAAAGTGAGCACTTTTTTTTGTTGTTGTGAGTACTGTGTTAGTACCATGCCGGTTACAAGCACCTTGCCGAAAATACGCACGACTAGGGATTTCCGTATCGATTTTCGAAAAAGGAGCGATCAACAATGAGCTACCAACAGGAAAATGCTGTCGACCAGTTGGCCAAGACTGATTAACAAGCAACCGAAGTTAGCAGCTTGTAGAGCAAAAAAGAAAAAAATCTTTATAACGGATATGGCCCCAATGGACGGATCATCACTGTGCTGCAGCCGAAGCTTTGGATAACCGCTCCCGGTCGAAGCGGGGTTTGGTTTCACAGGAGACCACCACTGGTTCCCTCACCGGCACCACACTCCCTAGGGGAGATGGTGCATTTGAAGTTACATGTAAGTATAAATGGCATATCTCGCGTGGATTTGCCGGACATATATTCCTAACGGATTTGTGGGTTTGCCAAATGGATTCAGGGAGAGTTTCTGGGTGGGTTGGGTGGAGAGAGAAAAGAAGGGACGGAAGCGGACGCAGGAGGGAATTGGAAGAATGGGAGGTGGAGGTCCCGCGTCAATTACCCAGTCCCAAGCTGTGTGACGTAACTCTCTTCAAGGACTGGTTCCCATGTGTTGATCCATTGCCGGATTGATGCTGTCGGCCATTGGGATCGTGTGTTGATTGGTGTTTGGAGAAGCCATACCTGTTCTGGTCTGAGGTTTCCCGATAACTTTTAGGAGCGAGAGCTCTGGGTTCTCTACGGATTTCAGGGCAAGGGCTCTAGATTCGTACCAGCAGCTTAGTTGGCTCTACGGAAAGGCAGCTCGGTGGCTTATTGCTTGGAGATGATATCCACATCGTCCTCCCATAGTCTAGAAAATAATGAAGTGAAACCGTATTGAAAACGTAATCCATTCCCAGGCTTGGTGCTCAACTTATATCCCTCCACAGTCAGATACCCATCCTGTGTAGGCCGAGCAGAAGCAGTGGAGGGTGAACAGATAGATACTGTTCTCTAGACTGCCCCAAACTGATTGAATAGCGAAGGCCCCCAGCTCCTGAGGTGAGCTGGCCCAAAGGGCTCAGCAGAGAGCTTTGCTGGCCCTCCTGTCTGACTGACAGGGCCAAGTCCTTGGTTTGGTGCCTACTGGAGGTGTTGAACACTCCTGAGGCACTGTTAGAGGAAATATTCCTGATACCTCTTTACTATTGACTCGTGTATTAATCATCTAGTCCGGTTCACATGCATATTCATGATGCAAGGAACCGAGGGAGTTTTAGGTCTAAAGTGTTACGGGGGTCCTTATATCCAATTCAATCACACGAATTGCTGTCAGCAACCAGAAAATCCTCACTTTTGCTTTTCAGCTTAATCTAAAACCAAATTACTCCCCAATAAGCTGCAGTATTACTAGCAAACAACACTGAAAAGCAAAAGCGCTTCTCGAGTTCGAAGAGTCAACCGTCTCGAGATAGTAAGTCAAATTGACCTGAAGAGTATCAAAGTGTATTGAGTTACCACCTGCAACAGAGAAGAGGTGCAAGAAACAGGCCTCTAGCTCCACTATAAGAGCATCGAAACACCTCTAACAGCAAAGAGGTGCGTGCGCGAGATTCCCATCTTCACGCAATCAAGGTACAACGATCGATCAACAGTTTCCGGCCGGAACTGGAGAGATCTACATACACCACGTGATCAATGAGAACAAGCTACACGGATTGTCCGCTAAATCCGGCTCTTATTCAACAAGTTGAAGTCGATTACATCATCGTGTCATCGCGCGTGATTTTGATCCGTCGCATCACAACGAGCAGAAGTCGTCGTACGGCGATCAAGATAAGTCGCGACACAGGCGTTGCAAGCAATACATCAAACGATAGAGGACATCTAGCTGCATCTCTGAGTATCAGTGCAAGATTCTAACTCCAAGAATTGAGTGAGATAGGTTGATTCGAGTGATACAGTGCTACTGTGAAGAGAAACACAAAAAATCACGACGAAGCTCATAAGTATCCCGGAGAAGCAAATCTCCTCATGAGAACTGTTCCAGCAACTGTAACTCACACCGTGTACTCATCTAAGTATACGAAGGCCATCTGCAGAAGAACAGATGCAACGAAAGGACCAACAGAGGCAGTTCGCTACTACCCAAGGCTCCAAAGAAGAAACCACGTTTTCCTCAGGAATTCCGTGAGATGTCAAAGACAGAGGCTATCCAGCCACCAACAGGCGCACCAAGAGCGACCAAAAGAAGGCTATCCAGCCAACAAGCAAGCTTTTTCACAAAGCAGTGACTCATACGAGAGTCCACCGTGAGATCCTTCCTGCAGGAGTATCCACACAGTTCCACGAGAACAAGCTAGTTCCAAGGAACCAGCAAGCACAAGAGTGCATTACCACACCAACAAGACCATGAGATTCCAAGGAAGAGGTGGTCGTGGTGGAGGAAGATACCCTTCTAGGGGGGGGGGTAGGGGATTCAATTCCTCAGGAAGAAGCCATCAAGGAAGAGGCAACAGCTACAGGAACCAGAACAAGAGTTCCAAGCGTCAGTTCCTCTTCCATCCAAATGGACACGCTGACACCAGGTATTATCCTTTTGAGGAGACCCTGACACACATTGTCCAGGACCTAAGGACCAAGCCTGAATGGAATGATGTGCCACTGGCTTCATTGGCCATTGAGACCATGACAAGTCAGGCACCAACCAAGCCGGATAAGTCGAAACTTCAGACAGCACTTGTTGATCCCAAAGCCAAAGAGTACGATGCTTTGGAACTCAGCGAGTACAAGGCAAAGTCGACTCGCGCCTATGAGAACATTCTCAAGACTGGTGCAACCACCATCCAGGTGACATACTGTACCGACGCCATGAAGTCCAAGCTGAGAGGTCTAGGAGACTATGAAGATGCAGTCAAGCTCGATCCCATTGAGATGCTCAAGAGGATCCGATTGATAGTGATGCAAGGCTCAACCAAAGTGTTCCCATTGCTACAATTCATCAAGACCATCCAACGTGGTTTGTTCCCGAAACAAGGAGACCATGACAGAGTTGACTTCTACTTGAGAAAGGTCGACAGCGACGTGGATCAAGTGTATGACCTGGTCGGAACGGAGTTCATTGATGCCAAGACTATCGGATTAGCTGAATACAAGGCCGCATCGAGTCACGACGCCCAAGAAAAGGTGCTAGTGACGGAAAGGGCTAGGTTGAAAGCAACCGTGGGCTGCCATGGACTACAAGAAGGAAGATATGGAGATTACCAGAAGACCGTTGAGGCAGCCTATGCCATGGATGGCAGCATCCAGTTCCCTGCTACCCTGGACCATCTCAGAGAGACACTGTCCAATGACAGATTCAAGGCCAGCAAGGAATGGTTGGAACAGCGGAAGGGCAGGGAACGGAAACCATACTCCAATCCCAAGCCACCTTCTTTTGATCCAAAGAAGATGAAGGAAGGGCTCCCAGCTGCTGTCTTTTACCAGCAGTCACAGCCAGGTGAAGCCTGCTACTGTTGTGGCAGCCCAGATCACAAGCTTCCGCCGTGCAAGGTCAAATTTAAGATCCCCAAACCTGAATGGGCGATCAATAAATTCAATGGCATGAAGAAGTCCTTCATGCCGCAGTATCATCAACATCCGATGCAACTGCTTCAAGGAGTGCCTACCACAGTGGTGACGGCACCAGCTCCAGCTCCAGCCGGAGACACATCGACCAGGAGTGGATTCAGTGGAATCCCTCCACCTCCTACGAGCCAGTCAAACTTCCAGCAGTTTCCCATGTCAAGCCAAGCCTCTCAGGCCAGCGCGGCAGGGTCATTGCAGTTCCACTTCCAGCACCATCAAGTTGGAGGAGTCCCGCCGCTGATGGCCAGAGATGACTCCACAACCGACAGTGATCCAGAAGAATCCGTTGACTGGGGGCAATTCGCCGTTGATTTCCTTGGAGGAGTCCCGCTTTATGCGGAAGAGTGGAGGCGAGATGAGACATCCTCAGAAGAGGCAACTGCTATGAAGACTACCTGCATCATCAAGTTGCGTTTGAGTTCCCAGGAGTGGCAGATGCCGAACTCACAGGAGTGGCAGAGCCAAATCTTACAGGAGTGTCGGTCAAGACCCTCATTCCTGATGGAGCCAACACAGTGTATCTCGACAGTGGCCTATGAATTCGTAATTATCTTAAAAATATGTCATGTTGGTCTCGGTGAGATGGAGGCAATTTCTGTAGTATATATACTACATTCATCACTCCCCCATTGCCGAACAACTCTGCAGGTTCTCTTCGAGTCATGACTTTGCAATCACGGTGACTCT